ATTTAAACATAACTCTAAAAATATAATATCAGAATCTATTTTTTTCTCCTTAAAAAAGTTATGTCTGGTGAATAGTATTCTACTAGCATGTACCATGTTTATTTCAGCAGTTATGACAGTAACAATTCTCGTTTCCTTTTACATTTGTGCCTTCGAGAAAATATTGTGGTTTTTAATCTAACTGTTTATTTGACCCAGCTAGAGGAATGATCACTCAGTCCTAAACTTGTATTCATTTATCTTGAATTTCCCCACTCTCATTGTAGTATCCTTTCTGAGTTAAGAGAGTAAAATCACTCAAGATTAGCACAGCCTTTCCAGGGATAGTAATTTCTTCCTCTTTTTGGAAAGTGAATTTATAGAAAAGTCCCAGCTGTTAGAAGCCACCAAAGAAAGTTTTTCAACATTCTGGTGACACAAAAGCTAAAACCTAAACATTTGTTCCTTGCCATCCAAACTTACCAACTGTGGGGAGGTGACTATTTTATTGGTCATGATCGCTGAATTTGTAATTCAAAATGAGAAATAAAAAATAAAGTTATTCTTAGATATGGAAATGTTTGGGATTTCTTTGCAAGATTATAATGACGGTCATAGGTCATATGAAATATGCTATTAAAAGTAACTCTTCCTTTCATAAATATAAAATAATTATGATTTCTTAAGGAGCAAAAACAGGTCTCTAATACTAATAAGGAATTGTAATATCCCAGATGAAACTTTCGTGTGTGTAAGAAGGGCTGGAGTAAGAGTTTCTTTTTATGTTACCCTTTTCACAGACTTTTGGTTCTGCTGTTTACCTCACACGTGCCTGATTGACATTATGATGCATTTGTGTAGAAATTATGAAAAAGTTGTTTTCATGCAGCTGTCCTGTGGTCACAAAAGGACTTCACTGCATGAAAAGCAAACATATCATTCAGCAGACAATGCTTAATCTGTTCAGGAGCCCAGACCTATTGCTGTTCAATGTTAGAAGAAAGAAGAGGGATTAATTTGAAGATGCTTGTGCATGACATATGGTAATTTCTCCATAGGAGGAAAGTGTCAAATGGTGACCTCTAAATCTTAACATTGACCTCCAGTTGTAGAATGTGTGTGCCATACGGTTCTTTTTCTTTTTCATATGATAATTTAAGCTGAAACATTTTCCTGGCGACATAATTTTTTGGGGGGGGAGGGGAGGGAACTAGTGCCTCTATTCTATAAGAACTATAAAATTCACAATAATTACTTTTAGTATATAAATCATTTGTATAATAAAAACTATTTTTAAATTTTGATGAATGAATGTAAGATTCTTCTCACAAGAGTTAAACATAGTATATTCTTTACAAGTTGGTATATTTTAAATTAAATTTTTAATTAAATGAGTGGTCTCATTTAAGTGAAATGGTCTCAGTGAATATTGAACTAGTGCCTCTATTCTATAAGAATTATAAAATTCACAAGAATTACTTTTAGTATATAAACTATTTGTATAATAAAAACTATTTTTAAATTTTGATGAATGAATGTAGGATTCTTCTAACAAGAGTTAAACATAGTATATTCTTTATAAGTTGGTATATTTTAAATTAAATGAGTGTGGACAATTGAAATGGTCTCAGTGAATATTGGTTTGTGATATTTAAGACTAACTTAGGTATGTATAATGTTAGAATAAATTGTTAGACAAATGTAACTGGCAATATGAAGACCAAAATAACTTTTTCATCTTGATATATATTTAAAAAACTTACACTCTCGTTTAATTTTTAATGTGCTGTCCTTTTTTTCATCATTACCGTAGTTGTTTTAGAGCTGTGTTTTCTATTAGTAAAGACATCGCTTATAGCATCAAATAGACTTTGCCTTGAGAGAGCTGTGAACGACACTGCGATTGCTATTCAATGAAGTATGTCATTCCCTGCTGTAACCTTTGATGGTCGTGCCCTTCTGATTAAAGCATCACGTTTCCGTTCTACATTCACTATGTTTTGCCAACTTTGTTTTTCATTCTTCACTAATATTAAGCTTTTTTCCAGAAACTGCTGTACCTCAATTCTCTCCTCCTCCTCTCTTCTCTTTTCCTCTGCAAGTGGCCACACCTGTCGTTTCCGCGCGGTCCGCTGCTGATCACTCTGGCTCTGACCCTGCTTCTGCTCCTGCTTTACATCCCTGTTTCTTAGTGAATGAAGGTATTCTCTCTCGACTTCCTAACCGCTGCCTTTCGATCTGTGCTTTATTCTAACAGACATGTTCTTTTTATCTGATTTGTACATTCATCTGCTTTGTTATGTGTGAGATCCTGAAGTTGCTATTTTGTAGCTTTATTTGCTAATTTTAGGGACAAGAGCCAGTTATAAAAATGTAATGTTTTCCCTGGCCGGTATAAACCACGTTTCCTCTAATGGAGACTGTTGTTAAAGAAGTGCACAGATGTCCAGCTTCCATGCAGAGCTGGTGTTAGCGGTGGACTGGTCGGTTGCCATAATCACGTTTGCCGTGTAATCTCTGGCATTAAAGCTAACGAATTTATTTTGTATGTGTCAGTACTCTGTGACAGACACATTTTGCTGTCTTTACACAACTGTATGCTCTGGTTGGGGAGAGTATAAGGAAGTCTCTTAATTTGCACTGTCATTTGAAAAGTCTTTAAATCGGTAATTGGCAGTAGTGATTATAGACTGTTAGGAATTGACATTTTTCTTCCTTACTATTTTCTGTTTCAGGCTCAGACAAAAATCTTTTGATTTCAATTTTTAAGATGTACTTGGGGTATCCTATTACCCCTCTGGAGTTACACAAATGAAAAGTAATTTTGGAGCTCTGAAAGTGTAAATAGGGTCCACAAACTTATTCCACCAGATCTCTATCTAAGGTTATTTGTACCGCCTAGAAGCTTAGTGGGATTTGTGAGCTCTGAGTTACATCCACTGTCTTTGTTACAGTGTCAATCTTTGCCAGTTTATAAGTGCAGAATACAGAAAAGAGAACTTTTACAAAAACTAAACTGTAACTTGGAATGATTCTGGCTCTTCACCAAAAAGTAGTATCACTAGTCCATTCAAACTGAAGGAACGTTGCAGTGTCTGTCAAGTACAGAACATGGGCTGCAAATTCTACTCCTTTGGAAAGAAAACATAGGAACTTAAAAAAGTATAACTTCATTTTTGGTTTCTCTATCATAAAACTGTATTTAGATTTGTATGTTAAAAGTGGATTTTAAGAAGAATAGTTAGAGTCAAATTTGTTAAGTTGTTGTGAAAGATAGTCATTTGTTAATTTGAAAATTAACTATTAGGCTTCAGCTCTTGGTGAGAATTATCATATTAAAATGTAGTTCATAAATACTAGAAACAGGACATATTAAAATACATTAAAGTACTTTAGTAAATTACTACATATTTTTTATATATACACATACATATGTGCATATATATGTATGTAAATATATACATATATACATATACATATAAATTATATCTCCTTGTGTTGTAAATGAATCCTATTCTAAAATGGGTGTTCCTATCACCTTAATTAATATAATTACAGATGGATTCTCAGTTGATGAGAATTTCAGTATTGAAAGATGACTCTTGAGATAGGTGACTTTTCTGTCTGTCTCTCCCCACTCACTCTTTTTAATAATTCCAGTGATCATTTTGAATTTTATGTAGGGTTTTTGCCATTATTGTTAGGAGACTATATTTTAAATTATTTCAAGACATTGATTTGCTCAAATTCTATGTTCACAGATAACTTAGATAACGTGGTAGTGGGCTTTTTTGGGCATCTATTCTTTTTCTTTTTTAGAGACAGAGTCTTACTCTGTTGCCTTCAGTAGAGTGTGTGTTGCTGTCATGTCACAGCTCACAGCAACCTCCAGCTCTTGGGCTTAGGCGATTCTCTTGCCTCAGCCTCCCAAGTAGCTGGGACTACAGGCTCCCTCCATGGCGCCCAGCTATTTTTTTGTTGCATTTTGGCCAGGGTTGGGTTTGAACCTGCCACCCTCAGTATATGGGGCCAGTGCCCTACTCACTGAGCCACAGGTGCTGCTCTGCATCTGTTCTTAATTATTTGTCTTTTAATATTATGAGGTAATGTTAATTATTATAGGTTAACAGTGGCCTCATACATAATTTGGTAAGATGAGGCATTTATTGTGTACATATTCTTTAGACAGCCTTAAAATAGGATTGAAATGATTATTCGAGAATGTCTGTATATAGTACTTTTATGTATTGCATTGGTATACAGCATTTGTCTTTATGCTGTATAGACATATAATCAAGTTCCATATTGTGAATTCGAACTTTGGAAAAAGTAACTTTTATTCTCATGAATTAGAGTTCATGATGTTTAAGATTTTGCAAATTTTTTTGTCAAGTTTTTATTTTGTGGAGTGTCTGAGCTCTTTTTTCTCTCAAAATTAGTGTTATAGTACTTATATCAGTTATGATTATGATTAAATACAGGATGCATTTTGTAAGAAAAGGAATCAATAAGTACCTTAATTAAAGGTTCCGTGACAGAAGACGGAAGACGTCTCTTTTGGCAAGACAATGGCAGCACCCAGATGGCCGGGCTTTAAGGGACATGATCCTATTTTTAGATATCCCTGCGAATGCCCTTTTAACTGGCAGCGGTTTCAAATCTGTAGTTTGAGTACATGTTTATTTTTATGCTTTATCGTCCCTGAAACATACATTTATTTTATTTTGGAGGGACTGTTTAAAAGTGCGTTTTCCTGTCAGTTTGGATCAACTTCGTGTGGAAATTTATTTTTATTTGCTTTAAAATATTAAGAGTTCTTCATAGGCATCAAATACATTGTTTAGGGATGAAATACATTTGGAATCATTTTTTGTACAAAATGTCTCATTACTTTGAAATCCTTTATAACATAACTTAGCACATCTGTCGTTTTTGGGTCAGTTTGGGTTATACTTACATAAAGAAAAATTTGAATTAGGCCATGCCAAAATGTTTAAAGTATTTGTAATACATTTTAACAGGATGGAGTCAGCTGGCGGCTATGCACTGCGTTATGCTGCCGGACCTGCTGGGCCTGGATAGATTTAGGCCTCCACTTCTAGAGATGCTCGCCCGAAGATGGCAAGATCGATGCTTGGAGGTAATGTCGAGGCGATAAGGAAATAAAAACATCATAAAGGCATTGGTCAATGGAAACTTGAAACAGAAATGGTTAATCTTTATCTAATTTATTTTATCGTCTTTTATTATGTCCTAAAAATAGGGATTCATGATTTCTGTGTTTTCCTTGTTCAGTTTATATATTAACCAGTAGTATTCCAGCTGATCTATTAATTTACTTTTTTTTTTTAATCCAGTGGCTATTTTATTTTTAAAAAGTTTTATATGCTTTGTAGACCTGTGCGATTTTGGTTTCTACGTAGATTATACACACAGATACACAAGCCCGCCTGCCCTAAAATCACACACTCAGTATAATGACAACCGTCCGACTCTAAGTGAATAGCTGTGGCCTAATGGAAGGTGCTGTGTTATTGTAAAAGGAGAAGGCTTTAGAATTAGAAGAGACCTAAGTTTAAATATCATTCCCACTAATTATTAACTTTGTGACCCTGAGCAATTTACTTAACCTATTGGAAGCTCATTTGTAAAGTGGGGATAATAATATATTCCTCATGGGATTGCTGTCAGGATCAAGTAAAATAATGCAAGTAAAACAGTAAGTACCGAGTCTGACACGTGGTAGGGGCTCAGTAAATGGTAGTCATGATTTTGTGTTAATGGATTTTATGCTGTATTAGATATTACTCAGGATCTAATATCACCAGGCTATGGAAGGGTTTTATAGAGATTTTTCTTATTATGGCATTTGCTCTATAAAGGTGTGACAGTTTATATTTTTAAAGATTTTTACTTTTCGAATAATGGTTTTCTAATACATACTAGTAACATATTTGCCCCTTTCTTGGTCTGTCCCCCATCAACTCCAAGTGGAATTCCAGAATACTAAAATTTCCCTGGGTTTGCATCGAATAACATTTTGAATTTACTTCCAAATTTACTTATATTTAAAAACATTTTTACTCAGACTCTTCCTTGGATGCTACTGAGCTGTCTCTCCATTTGTAAAGAGTTAATAAGTTGGTGTCTCCCTTAGTACCGACTACCTTTTTTGGCCTCTTGCTTTTGGTACTTTTATCAAAATAAAGCAAAATAAAAGTAAAGTAAAACTGCAAAATAAAAGGTATATGCTGAAAAAAATGGGTATAATTTTGAAAAATGATTTCCTCTGTACAACTAAAAGAGGTTATGCCATTACATAGGAATGTATATGCCTACTTATCAAAAACCCTGTTTAACCATATCTTAGGTACACATAAATCATATGAATTTATATGTATTTTGTAAATGGTACCTATTGAGCATATATAACATAAAGAAATTTAGTAGATAAGGTTGAATTTCTTCAGGCTAAAAGAGAAATTTTAGTCTGGGTAGAGTGGGTATCACCCTGGGTAGAGTGCCGTGGCGTCCCAGCTCACAGCAACCTCAAACTGTTGGGCTTCAGTGATTCTCTTGCCTTAGCCTCCCAAGTAGCTGTGACTACAGGCACCTGCCACAATGCCCGGCTCGTTGGGTTTTTTTTTGTTGCATTTGTCATTGTTATTTGAGCTGGCCCAGGCCTGGTTCGAACCCACCAGCCTCGGTGTATGTGGCCGGTGCCCTGACTACTGAGCTATGGGCACCACCCAGAAAATCTTAATAGTTCTAACAGGCATTTAATAGTAACAATAATGTAGAAATTTTAAAACTGAAAGGCTGCTTTAAAGTTCATAAATGCTTAGGAAAATGAAGTGTCAAAGCAAAAACTGATTAAATTGTTTAAACATAATTCCATCCATTAGTGTTAAAATATTTTTCAGTGAGATCATTAATTAGAATGCCCTTGCTAAATTGCTAGCATTCAGTTTATTCCTGTTTGAATACTTAATGCATTATTTGGTTTGCAGGAACTAAACATGGTTTTTTGTTTTCCTAGCTGTACTTCACTGTGAACTTTCTAGTTTATAAACAGTTGCCTCCTCGACTGATCTGCTTTCTGTCTTTACATTCGGATCCGTGGTCGTCTTAGGTGAGAGAAGCCGCACAGGCCCTGCTACTAGCGGAACTGAGAAGAATTGAGCAGGCCGGACGGAAGGAAGCCATCGACGCCTGGGCTCCTTATTTACCCCAGTACATGGACCACGTCATATCACGTAAGGTTCTCGTGCTTTTCTGCAGAGTTTCTTTTGCAGACCTATGTATGTAGAAAAAGTACCCAGACTCACAAATATGTATGCTACTCCTATCGCCAAAAATGAGTGATGAGCCTCAAAGTGAAAAGAAAGGATCCTCAAATTCTGCTTTTTTATTTTCTGACTCGTTCTAGTTTGGCCTTTGATAAGCCAAAAGCCAAACCTGTCTAATAGCAAAATAATTCATTATGACTGACCTGTTATGAAATTAATTCCTAATCAGAAATCTTACATTTAACACCAACACCTCTCTGGGCCCATTGCACTATTGTCCTTACGCTGCCAGCTTGTTAGATAGGATCTGATGACACGCAAGTGCGAGTACGAGATTGAAAATTGAAAAAGATCTGGTGGTGTTAGATCTGTGTACTCCTGAAGAAGAGAAAACTAGCAAGGATTTTAACTGATGGGTCTTCCAAAAGAGCATAATTTAAATATATTGGGAAAGTTGTTGAAATTTTAGAGTATTTCTTGCAAAATAAAACCTTTGTAATCATACTGTTAAGTCAAATGTGCATTGGCAAAGAGTTATATTGTGTTATCATAGTTTTTCTTTTCTTCTCAGAAAAAGTGTTCTTACTCCCAATTCATCATTTGACTAATTCTTTATTCTTCTATAAAATGTTCAGAATTTAAATTTTAACCTGAGTTATGTTGATTATAAGATAAATTAGTTTCAGTTTTTAAAGATTAAGTCTCAAATGTTTGAACAACTTTTAATGTGAAAATTTAGCTTAAGTTTTAGGTGGATTCATATTAAATGACCTTTTGCCAGTGCTAGTTATTCTTGGTAGTAAAATACTCATTACACGTGTCAGGATGGCCAGTATATGATTATATAAGAAGGAAATTGGAAACAAAATTCAGAAAGGGTCCTGCCTGTTGTAAGTGGTCTAACTCTACCAGATGTTGGCCAGTGTCGACTGTAGTAAATATTGAGATAGGCACGTGACCTTGGGCACTTCACTTAATTAAGCTTTCTCAGCCTTAGTTTTGTTGCAAATAAAATGAAGACGATGTTAGGACTTTAGAGGGTTATTGTGAGTAAGGAACGAGTTGGTCTTTGTTAAGTATTCTGGACAGTACCCAGCCCATCATAAGCACTGTATTTATTAAACAAATACTTTATAATCTATAAAAATGCAAATGTATGTTTCACATATAAATACACATTGACAACTCTGGTTAAAATTCTTTTTTTCTTTTTTTTTTTTTATTGAATGGTAACTATGTACATTAATGCACTTCTGGGGTACAGTGTGAGGTTTTCACACGCTATCCGAAATACTTCCATCAAACTGGTCAACGCAGCCTTCATGTCATTTTCTCAGTTATTGTTTTAAAACGTTCATATTCTACTCTTAGAAAGATTCACTTGTACCCCTATAAGATAAACCTCAGAAGTGATCCCTCCAAACCCCCTCCCTCCACCCATTCCCCCCTCCCATATTCTTAGGCTATTTGGTTATAGCTTTCATATAAAAAGTATAAATTAGTTTCATAATAGGGGTGTGTACATTGGATATTTTTTCCTCCATTCTTGTGATACTTTGCCATATGGACTCAGTGACTATTAGTTTTCATTTGCTTACTGAGAATATTTGTTTTAATAATAGAAAATTAAATTTAAAAAACCGGGGTCCCTAGGGATATGGACTCTATGTCAGGTGGTAAGCTTAAAATTCTTTTTCATATATGTGCAGGTTTTAAAATGCATTTCCAGAATGTAAAAAAAGTTTAAAAAGTAAGATCAGAAAAAAAGATCAGCTCTTGAGTATTTGTCTGGATAGTCTGGACCAGTGTTCTTCGTTTATAACCTGTGGGCATTCACTTGTAATATTTGAGGAAACAGAGTAAGACAGTCAGCTCCTAAAACAGAATTAAGGACACACAGTGAGTCTAGCACTGTAGAATTGGTTGAAGGTAAAAGTAGACAATTGCAGATTACCTGAGATTCTTTTAAAAGAAGAACGCTATGGTGAAGATGTTGAGAAACTTTTTTTTTTTTTTAAAGATATCTGCATTTAGAATGGACTGGTATAAATTGGGGCAAAGGATTAAAATAAAATAAGTAGCTGGGGCGCTATTACAGAAGGGGACATGGGACCCACACCTAAATTTAGATGGGTTAGAATAAGAGATAATTTGTAGCGTTTGATTGCTGATTGCATACAAAGGTCTGAGAAAAACACCAAGGGTGAGTACAGTGTTGTATTCTTGGCAGTTGGAGAAGAGAGTGAACATTAGCAATTGTAGTGGATGCCATCTGTTTTTGGAAAGAAGAGCATGAATTAGTTAAGAGCATAGTACAGCCACAGATTACTCCCTGAAGTAATGAAGAAAGGTGTACGTGGCTAAGCAAGAGGTCTGTTCGCGGGTTCAGAGAGGCTGGGAAATGTAAGTAAGACAGTGACATTACCTGCCATTGATTGGATACTTTCTCCGTGTCAGGCTTTTGCGAAGTACTTGGTTCATGTTATTTCATTTAACATTACAATAAATTTGGAAAGTAGATACCTTTGTCATTACTCCCTTTTGTATCCCCTACCCGTTTTGTTTTTTCAGGTGAGTTAACTGAGGCCAGGAGAGATTAGGAAACTTTCTGAACGTCCCTCAGTTACTAAGTGACTATCAGACTCCTAACCTCCTTGTCTTAACCGCTATTTATCTGTCCTGCTTGCTCCTACGTCCTTAGAACTAACATGGGGTTGGAAGGGGAAGAATGATTAGAGATTTGGTTTAACTAATAATTGCTTTCCAGCCGTATTACATTTAGCAACAACAAAATGGAACAGAAAAAATAATTGTTTGAAAGTTACTCTCTGATGGCTCTCATCACTGTTTAAGCATAAGTTGAGTTGTTCTTAGGTCAGACTTAAAACTTTCTACTTATGTAATTAAGCCCTTGGTATTTAATTACAATGGCCTGGAGTGCTTCATAATTAAGTACATGCTGGCTTACTTAAAATTTTAATCCCATCAGTTGTCGTAATCGGTTTTTTTAGTGAAAGAATAAACAAACATGTATTGCCCGGGACGCTAAAACGTCACACACCAACAACTCTTGATATAATATGTTAATCTTCTGTGGCGCTTTCATACTGACTGAGTGTAAAGTTAGTTTCAGTTTGCTTTGCTGAGAGCTTTCTACTTTCATAAAAGGGTGTCCAGCTGAAGAAGTGGGGATTCTGAATGTATGAAAGGGGAAGAAAGTACACAACAAACGAGGAAAGACCACATAGGGCTGTTGAACAGATTTGCCCTCCAAAGGGATCAAAAGGTTATGGAGCCAGCTGGTAGACAGCCCACACCTGCCGCCCACGTGCTTGTACTGAAACCGCCTCTCCCATTGTCACCAAGGTCTGAGGAGATGACCATTGTAGCGCTGTTTTAGAAACTTAGAACTTGTTTTTCTTAGCATAGGAATCCTTCTTAATTACCAAAGGAGGCAGAATGTTAAACAGTAGATCTGGTAAATATACCATTCATCAGCTATTTTCTTATAATTTAGTCTCTGCCCTGTCATAGCCAAACAGTAATTTATGACTGAGCTTTCTCTAAGAATGCCTTTACTACATGTTAGAAGTTTGCCTAAAACTCAGAAAAATGCTCTTATCTGAAGGCTGATGGACTCTGATAGCCTAAGTTCATCTTGGAGATCTGGAGTCTAAGGTTTAAAGTGGATAGTAACTTTCTCTAAGTTTACAGGCAGTAAGTGAGTGGGCTGGGACTAAGATGACAATGAAGTTAATTTGTCTTATGGACTAAGATCTTCTGTATTTTATTTAGGTACATTTTGTAATGAAAAGCCTTTGCAGATTTGTTTGAGATCCTAAGGAAAGCAATGGGTCAAAGCCAGTTGCTTTTCTCTCTCTTTCCCAACCTCTTTTTAAAGAGATGAGGGTCTTGCTATGTTGCCCAGCTGGACTCAAACTCCTGGGCTCAAAGTACATTCCTGCCTCAGCCTCCTGAGTAGCTGGGCCTCCAAGCATGTCACTGTGCTGCTCTCAAGACTCTGAGACAAACTTTGTAAAGTGTCTAGCATAGTGCGTACTGTGGGTCGTGAATGTTGGCTGGCTGTCCCCTTCTCCTTCCTATGCTGGTCTCCATACTTTTGGTCTCCTTATTGCCTCTACCTCAAAATTCCCTTTAATTTATATAGCCCAGGGATTCTGGCCGTAGACTAGAGATTACGGGGAAGAAAGAGGAGCAGTCTGCCTTAACTGAAAAGCCAATTCACAGATGTTTATAAGAGTCACCTCTTAATTGAATGATGTAAGAATTTGCTTCAAGTAATGGAGCTCTGTCCTAGAACTAGTCAGGGAACATTATTTTGTCCATTTCAAATGTTGTTAGTATGTAAACTTTTGGTGCCTCATTTCTGATAGAAAAGTTGAAGGTTAGTGCCTTGCGATTCCTATTCTAAAGGGAGTAGGATTCAAACTACTGCATACATTTTCATAATATTGACTTACACAAATATTGCATATCTTGCTGGAGTCCTCTTTAGCACATGTATGGAGTCACTTTAATGTTCCAAAACACTTTCTAAAAATTCTCTTGATTATTCGTACTAAATAGGGATTAATGTTATCTTATAAAAGTATAATATTACAATCTGGATAAATATAAATGGTGAGAGTTGTCTCAGATTTATTTTGAAGTGCAGCTGTTTTACAGAACCCAATTTTATATATTTCTTATTGGTGACATTCTCCATGTAGCATATTGATAATTGACTTTTTTATGAGGTCAAGTACCTGCTGGTTTATGAAATATACTCACACTTGCCCTTCATTTCTGTGGGTGACCACTGGGAGGTAAATGCTGATGGTTCCTGATTTCCTCTGGCCTGCGATACCGAGTGACCTTCCAGGGCGTGAGGTCACGAGTGTAATTATTTCTCTCACATTGCATTCGGCCTGCTCACAGTGGCTCATCTCTTTTAGTTCCAGAAACAT